CCATGGAAACTAATGTAAAACTTAAGTTGGATGATGGTGACCCACTCGATGATCTGGAGATGTATGAGAGACTTGTAGATAAACTTATTTACCTCACAATCACTCGTCCAAACATCTCCTGTGCAGTTAATGTTGTGAGCCAGTTCATGACCAGTCCTCGGGTACCTCACATGGAGGCAGTTATATGCATCTTAAAGTATCTCAAGAGTGCTCCGGGACGTGGTCTTCTTTATCGATCTTCTGGACATATTCAGATTGAGGGATACACAGATGCAGATTGGGTCGGTTCTCCTTCTAATCGACAGTCCACCACGGGTTACTGCACCTTCATAAGAGGAAATCTAGTAACTTGGAGAAGTAAATAACAGTCAGTTGTGGCTTGTTCCAATGCTAAAACAGAGTATCGTGCCATGGCACACACTGCCGGTGAACTTAGTTGAAAACTCTTTTACAGGAACTTGGGATTTCAGTCCAGTATCCAATTCCTCTCCACTGTGACAATCAGGCAACTATTCATATTGCTAGCAATCTAGTCCTACCATGAGAGGACTAAACACATTAAAGTAGAATGCCATTTCATTCGATCTAAAGTTGATTCTAATGAGATTGTTACACCTTTTCTTCCTTCTGGTAGACAGCTGACAGACATCTTCACTAAGGCGCTTCCCAAGAATTCTATTGATTCCATATGTAGCAAGCTGGGAGTTATTGACATTTACTCTCCAGCTTGAGGGGGAGTGTTGTACAGTATTGTATGGGTTGTCACACGTGTACAGTTAGTATTGTATGAGTTGTCACCTACCCCTCATTACCATATATAGAATTACCATATATGGGTTAACTTGTTCTCCACTCACCTACTCCCGTAACTTCTCCTATATAAACACCATTATATTATTGTATTACTTACTCGATAACATATATGTTTTCATATATTCTCTCTCTCTCTCTCTCTCTCTCTCTCTCTCAACAATATCCATACATGTCATGCCCTATAGTCTTAATTACTACCATGCCATGCTCATCTTTGCAATGACATCAATTATTGCATTATATAATCAAGACTGCTCAATTTAACTCGTGTAGACATTTTATCAATCATCAAGAGTGCAATGATTCACATAGCTTCATATAAGCATGCCTCCAAGGAAATAATCATATAAAGATCACGAGTAATAGCCATAGAATATATACATAGAAATCAAAGTAAACTTACATGAAATGAAAATACATAAACACATGCATAGACATTAAGGCTAACACATTTATCCACATATATGAAGCAACTGAACATATTGGGTATAGCTTTCCTCACAAAGAATCACTAAAGCATCGTTTTCTAATCACATACACCCTAAATGAAGCAATTTAACAATATAAACTTACACAAATGCATTCTTTACACACACCATGCTCATAAAACTCAAAGAAATCATAGGTTAAAGGCATAACACACCCCTACCTCAAACTAGGAGCAAACAGTAGTTATCTCCAAATGAAAATTGCTCCAAAGATAACATAAAAACCAAGGATTGATAGCCCTTGTCATTCCCGATGTTTCTCTCTTCTATGGGAAGTTGAAAATCAAAGTGGAATATGGAGAAAACCAAGCTTAAAGGTTAAAGCAAAAGAGAAAACAAAGGGAAAAAGAGAGGAGAGAGAGAGAGCCGGCTAGAGAGAGAGAAAGAGGGTGAAAAGTGATTGTCTTGCCTTCTCTCACCCACACACATACATATATCACATGTGCACTCACCACCACAAAAAGGGTCAAGGCGGGTCCTGGAAGGTCTCACAAAATGCACTAAAGCCCCAGTGCAGTATCAATATACACACACATGTATGAAGATGCCCCACAATATGATATGAATGACAAACATGCCTATAATTAAATAAGTAAAAGTGACCTTCATGTTCTAGGGTTTTTTTTTTTTTTTTTTTTTTTTTTTTTTTTTTTTTTTTTTTTTTTTTTGTTTCTTTACTTCAAATGCAACCTTCAAGTGTTCTAGTTTTGGTCAAGTCTCAGTTCCTCCAAAAAAATTGGATGGGCCCTTTGACTCAATGAGCCAATATTATCTATAAGTCATCTAATGTATGCCAGAGAATGTATTAAGATTCGAACCAACCATCAAATCTCAACCCTTCAAACTTCATGTTGCACATGATGAGAAAGGCGTTGTCAAGCTAAGTGATACAGACTGTGTGAGGCCTCAAGGAAGAAGAAATATGAACATAAAGTTTTTTTAAATGGTCCAAGTCGTCTAATGTATGCCAGAGAATGTTGAGATTCAAACCAACCATCAAATCTCAAACCCTTCAAACTTCATGTTGCACATGATGAGACATACGCTGTGTAATATTTCCAATTTTTACCATTTTCCATTTTTTGGAATTTTCTGTTTTTACAAGGACATTTTAGTCTTTTCTCGTTTTACGTGCCGGACACCGTGTAGTGTGCCGGGTGTGTCAGAGAGTTGATTGGGGCATTTCCTTAAGTTCAGCGCACGTGGAAATGCAATGGTCGCCATTTCGGCATTTTTCATTTTTCGGGCCGGGATGTTCCAAGTGGGAGGATTGTTGTGTACGAGGGTTGTGTCACGGGTCCATTGCATTTCTTACATTATTATTTTTGTGCATAGATTATTTGTTTATATGTTAATTGGTGTGGTGGTGAATTAGTTATTGTATATATATAAATATATATAAGCTTATGTTATTAAAGATAATTATAAAAGAAAAAAAAAAATGGTGGGACCCGCATGATATTAAAACACTTGTAATGGCTTTACAGCCATTACCTTCGGCAGAACCACTTCTGCCCAGTTCACTCTCTCGCTGAAATTTTTTTTTTTTTTTCCTTCTTTTACAACTTCAAACCTTGATTACTCTCTCATCCTTTGGAATTTTTGGGTGCCGTTTGCGGCAAAACGGAGAGCTCGTTGAGATCTATGCGTTGATATAAGCAATTCCTTGTTTGGTGCACTCTAAGGATTTCGAATTTTTGGACCCATTTGGGGGTTTTTGCATCTAAGTGAGGTAGAGGTGTTCTAATTCACTCAATCTTTGGTTCTTGTGATTCATTTTCCTATAATTAATGTACAACATGCTTGAATGTGATTATTCTTTGGAGAAATTTCTTTAATGGTGTATATTAAATTTGTATATCCATGTGGGTTTCTATGTGAAAGTGATTTGTGAGTAGATAGTTGTTAAAATGAATAGAGAATCATGCTTAAATGGTTGTGCTTTAAATTCTTATATTTAATGGCTAAAATTTGATTATTTATATGCATGTTGTTCTTCCATGAGAATTATCCTGATAAGCTTGTAATATTTGTTAAGAGTTGATTTGCATGATATTACGGCATTGAGATGCATGAAGCATTCATGCATTCATTGGGAAAGAAAAAGGGGAAAGTATTTTAAAACAAAGGAAAATGTTTTTGGGAAATGATTTTTGATGAAAGGTTTGTGAAAACCGGACGCCTAGGAGGCGCCTAGTGGTTCGGGGTGTTAATGTGATCTAGAGGGAGGTTGAGCTACCTAGGCCCAGACGACGACATGGAGGTGCCATGTGGTCGGGGAAAGCTAGCCAATCCTTCCCTCGTGGTGCCATAAAGGTGCTATGGGCTGGATTGCATTAACGATTTGGAACGGTAAAAAGGAATTGTTTTGAAAACGGGGAGCGACATTGGCATGACATTGCATCTCATTAGTATATTTAGTGTATAGGTGATTAGATGATATTTGGTTATATGCTGGTTATGGTGTTATTGATATATATATATATATATATATTCCCTATGGCATGATCCCGTTTGCCTTTACCTATTCTTCGTATGGATTCACGGGGTCATAAGAAGTGTGTCTTAGACACTTCCTATTGAGCTTATGCTCCCCCATTTATTATTAACATTTTTCAGGATACAGAAGGGAAGTGGCGGACGACGCTCCTCCACAAGGTTCGATGGGTTAGTGGACTGTTTTGACATATTTTGTAGTTATGATCTCATTTTATTATTATCGCTCTTACTATTTTTTAAAAAAAACTCTAGGATGACACGCATATTATGTATTGACGTAGGAAAGGACGGTAGTGTCCTTAGTTGACCTCGAGTTTGGATAAGGACCCGGTTAGCGATTCGGACCCTCGAGTTCGGGTCGTTACACGCTGTCAAGCTGAGTGATACAGACTGTGTAAGGCCTCAAGGAAGAAGAAATATGAACATAAAGTTTTTTTAAATGGTTCACTTTCAGGACAGGATCCACTAGGCAACTTAGTGTATTTGAAGAATTAATGATATTTTAATGTCTCAACTAATTTTCCTACATTTAGGCCAGAATGGAATAAGAAATCTTTATGCTATGTTTGGTTGGAGGGGAGGATTGAGGAGGGATGGATGAGAGGGGGGATAAAAGGACTTAATCCCTCCTTGCTTTGTATTGTTCTATCCGCCCAAAATCGGGGCAAGAGGGGAGAGAGAATGGATAATCATCACAAATATGTAATTTCCATTTTTAACCTTCCCAAATTTGAAATGAATATTAATTTTAAAAATTTTATATAATGAGGGTATATTAGTAAAAAGAATATAAAAAGTCTTTCTCCCTTCCTTCCAACCAAACCAAAAAAAAAAAAGTGCCACCCCATCCACCCTTTCTACTATCCATTCCATCTAACCAAACAAAAAGTGAGGGAGACACCTTCCCTTCCCTAGGGATGCCTCATCCATCCCTTCCCCTTTCCCTTCCATCTATTGTTCCATCCCTCCAACCAAACGGAACATTAGGGATATTTTTAAAGTTATAGTTTTACTTAGAGCCAAGGTAAAACTAGGAAGAAAAAAAAAAAAGAGAGCCAAGGTAACCTCTTAATAACTTGCCACTTGAAGCTACTTGCAAGACACTTGTCACCTAACATAAATCTATTATGTAAAATGAAGTTGAAAATTAAAACTAAAGATGATATGTAATTTAAAAAGTGGGAGCAAGTGGCAGCAGACCTTGTTCTTAAGAGAGCATAACAACCTGCACCAAGATATATGTGATAACTGTGATAGGACATACTGCTGCAATGTAGACACAAAATAATTGACCTGGTGCCTGAAATAAAAGAGTGACAAGAGATCATTGTAAGTACATATGTCAACCAGATTTTTGCCAACTATAATGGGCACTCTCTTTCACACAATGGAAATTCAAATGGAAGGTAGATTCCAGTATTTGTTATCGTAAATTTTACATTCTCCCTCTTTTATTTTTTTTTTAATTTTTATTTTTGGAGGTGGGGAGGAGTTTTACATTCGTAACCATAGGCTCTAATATTGAGTTAGTAGAAGGCTCAATTAGACCTAGAGGAGGGTGAATAGGTCTTTAAAACTAAATAATGAGCTTTAACCAAATTTTAAATTTTAAATTTCAACTATCAAAATTGACAGAAATTTAACTATCAATGAACAAGCATGTAAAACTAAAAGGAGTGCAGTACAAGCATGTAAAACTAAAAGGAGTGCAGTACATGCATATCCACACATGAAGACTGATTTACGTGAAAAAACTTGTAGGGAAAAGCCCACGAGACCTAGTCTAGGCAGATCAAATCCACCAATAGAAGAAAGGTATACATCTAGGTTAAGCAGACTCTAACCCAAGAAAATCCTAGTACCTCTGACCTAGACTCACACTGACGCTCAAATCAAGATCCCTTCCACTGCCTAGGGCTGCAAATGAACCAAGCTGCTCATGAACAGCTCAGGCTCGTTCATTTAGCAAACGAACCAAGCTTGAACACTAGTTTTGAACTCGTTTAATAAACGAGCCGAACCAGAACAAAGTTAGGCTCGTGAACAAGCTCGTTTATCAGCCATTTATAAGTTTTTGATCCAGCCCATAGATGTGAACAAATTTGATCCATTGAAATAATAACATAAGCCCATTTGTAAAATACATTACTATTATCTAAATGAAAAGACCAAGAAAAATTGGCCCATATTCATTTTAAAGAACCAACTGACAGACCAATTTATTCTAACAACAAAACAAACCCTAATCTTATTTCATTCTCTGCAACGATTAACTGCCCCATTCTGCCCCTCATCTTCCATTCTTCTTGTCATTCTCTGCAACAATAAGCGATGACCAGCCTCTCCCTTCGCCGGCCACTTCAATATTTTGTATTCTTTAATAAATTAATTGCAAAAAGAGAATGATGCACAGCTGTTGATGATTTCAGACAACCTCAAGGTATGCTTACATATATAACTCAATATATATTGATTTATTTGTGTTATGTATATACACTAATCTGTTGTGAATTATATATACCTAAGATAGCGTGAGTGTATATATGTGTGCACAAATGAGCACGAACCAAGCCGAATCCGAGTTGATATTCTGATAAACCCGAACTCGAGCTTAGCTAGGTCGAGCTTGCCCGAACACGAGCCGAGCCAGGGCACCTGCCCGACTGTGGCGAGCCAAGCCCGAACATGCCAAAGCTTGGCTCAGCTCTGCTCATTTGCAGCCCTACCGGCATTGGCATTCAAGGAATCTTCTCCTCAAGAAATCCGCTCTTCAACCCATGATATGATCTCCAATAACTAGTCGTCCAACCTTCATGTTTGTTGGGTGGAAGTTGTTAATGATAAATGTTCAAGTGTTCAATGATACTCCTTACTTTAGAACTCAATCACACAATGTAATAGGGCATTTATAAAAAACCTCACTTTTGATTGAAAACTAACGCTCTCAGTCTATCTCACAATAGTGTAGTTGTGTCTCTTCTTTTTTCTTTTCCTTTTTTTGTGTTTAGAGAACCCTAGAACACCTTTTTATGGTAATATAGTATTAGGAGTGATTAGGAATTTTCTTTATGAATTTAAAAAGTTTAGAAACCTTTTTAGACATGGAAATGCATATTTTACCGATTTTGGCTTCTGTCAATCGATCAACGTATCAATCGAAACTTTCTGGAACAAGTTCAATCAATCTAGCTGCAGGTAGACTAAGTAGATTCACTGGGGAGGGTTGAGAGTTTCTCTCTCTAAGATTTTGTGAGTTTTACTTTGATCTTCAACCCTCTCTCGTAGAATTCTGGTCAAGCTTCAGCAGAGATAGTCGGCATTGGTTGATTGCTCCTTTTTTTCTGGATTGGTTCTTCTATTTTGACCCGCGGTGCTTTCCCGGTGATTATCATTCTTTTACTACTCAGATTTGTTGCGTTCTTCTCTAGTTCTTTATCACCAGTTACTGTTGAACTGATGGAGAAGCTTCTTCTATTAGAAACTGCAAAGGAAACAATTGAGGTTGCCAATGGTTCTGAGCAAGTTTTGGAAGAACATTTCTCTCTAGGTATTGAACCTAGTCCCATGGAGGTTAAAACAGAAATATTGAAGCTTTGTTTACAAGAAATGGAAGAAGTAGTCTCTCAACTCAGAGTTGCTCCGCAGAATGGTGAATGTAATGGGGGTATGAGAGGCTGTTTGGGTGGTCAGAGACTCGGAGCTATTCTGGTGCAGGGTGTGGTGGCACATTTGTAGGTGGTGGCTACAACGGTGGTGATAGAGGCTCAATTGTTGATTCAAATAGTGATTTTGGAAGCTATGGCGGCATGTTGAATAGCAGTATGCAGGAAGCCAAAGAAGGGTAATTCTGTCCTAACCTCAAGGGAGGTTGACTACCACATTTAACCAAAGTTTAAACAGATGGTGCAAGTAGCAATCCCCGGGGGAAGTTAGGGTAATTTACGCCTAATATCTAAGGCTATTTATGAAGGTTAGTTAAAAGTTGATTTTGTTCCTTCATTGAATATGACAAAACCAAACACTGGATTGGATGAAATATACTTCCCAAGACATTGCCAAACATGTCCAAATATTAGAATTGGAATATTTATTACCTAGTATTCTTAGGTATCTCTATTGCTGACAGTCAAACACACAAGGCAGACCAAAGTGTTTATTTGGCGTTTTAACTGATTTCAAACTCTACAGATCTGGCTGTCCCCTTCAATACCATTTTTAGCGTTCATAAAATGAAGTCATATAACCAATTTTGAAGAATACAAATATATGTAAAGCTCAGAAAATGATACCTTGAATAGATAATTGAAAGAAAACACAACTCGAGAAAAATTTTGAATGCAAAACGTGCTGCATACCTCAGTTTCATTAAGGTGTTGAAATGGTGCAATTCCGATTTATGTTGTTCAGAAAGTCGATTCTGATTAACTAAATGCAATAGATCCTGTTGACCAACATTCAAAGCATATTAAGTACCTTATAACAATGTTTTACAAGTACTTTAATTTTCCACACTTAAATGAATTATATTTACCCCATGGTGACTGAAGTATATGGGAATTCAAAACATTTTAAACCTATAACTAATTATTTCACGGTAAACATTTATAAAGTAAACCCAGTTCTACGGTCACAAAAAACTAGACAAAACTTTTAGAACAATTTGTTAAAACTCATAAGCACGAGATCTCAAAGTTAGGCTTGAAAAGCTTGACTGCCAAATGCAACCAAAACAAAAAACAAGAAAAACAAAAAGCAGAGAGAGAGAGAGAGAGAGATGCAGTTAGCATCTATCATACATGCAGCTCTCTGAACCGATGCTGGAAAAACAAAAACAAAAACAAATCACAGATTGTTCTCAACCATTTAATGCACAACATTTTACATATGATAGTTGCGACTTGCGAGAGGCTTACAGAAAACAATCAACTATGGTGATCATCCCGGTAAGGGACTGTAGAAGTAGGCGTTGCTGATAGCCTGTTACTTTTTCAGGTGTAACATATTAGAATTCTGATCAGCGGGTATACATGCATATGTTGATATTATAAAAAATGAACAAAAGAGTCCAGTTCCTAAAAATCCTTACCTTCAATGAGAACCATACTTCAGTTAAAGTAAAAACAGCAAGTTTGACTTGTAACAGAAAACTGAATATCTCAGCATAAAGTTTCAGAGCGCCTGGGGTCAAAATGATACTGACCGGCCAATCAACTCTATAACCCAAACCTAAAAAATCAAAAGAATGGACTCCTGCAATACACACAAGAAAAATGAATTTAAGAACACAGATACACATTCAAATAGGGATTAGAGATAAGAGAAAAACAAAAAGAAACAAACACAAATAACAATTGCAATAAAGAATGTACCGATTGCAGAGGTTGAAAGGGGCATCGTGCTGTGTCCTTTAGTGTACACAAATAACCGATCCTTGTTATGGTCTCTTTCACATGAAGACCTTTGAACTGACAACTCAAGCAACCCCTGAATTTCTGATATGCTATGATCTGCCTCTGTGGCATACCATTTCTGGTCGCAGAATAAGAGAAATAAATGGATCAGAAGGAATGATAGTTGCATAGAACCAAACAATTAAAGGGAGATAACACCAAAGTGATCAGAAGAAAGAAATACATGACGCCAAAGAGACATGACAAACAAATCTGCCCAGTCTGCCAATTCCATAAAATGGTACCGCCGCAGAGCCAGCAAATGTTCTTGCAAACTAAAGCCCTCTTCCAGTAATTTAATAGCCAACTTGCTCACATACTTGTATCTGGCATTGTTAAAGGTAAAGGCACAACTAGCATGAAATGATTGCTCTTCCAACACCAAGAACATGAGTAGGATGCCATTTTTCAAGTGAAAATATATATATACATACATACACATATATATCTGTGTCTGTGTGTGTGAAAGGAGAGGAGAACAATGAAAAAATCAATATCCTTGCAATCAGACATCAGTTTGAGCCACAAAATGCTCAAGAAGATGCCCAAAGTTGGAATGACAGGATTCTAACTCCTGACAAGGCATAGAAGAGGCTGTTCCTCCAATACAAAACTGAAACCTGAGTTCAAAAGTTTTGTGCATAAAAAGTACATGATTAAAAATCCATACACCAGGCCGCTTTTTTTCTAAAATAAATCAAATAAATACAACACAAACCCTTCCAAAGCCACCTATCAGAAAATTCAAATCTTAGGAAAGATAACCTTGAAAAAAGAGAGAACTCCAATGGTGGGGCCGATGCAATGCTTACCAAGCTAAAAAAGAAAAAAGAATTTCTAAGATGTCACTTCACCATGAGGAGATAAGTAATTAGAGGATTCTCCCCCTACTTTGCACACACTATATAACCCTACTTTGCACATGATTCATGCATGCCCACAGTTGAACGTCTTCAGGGCTATGGTTTAAACCAAAACTTTCTAAGCGAAGCGTTGGATGGAAGGAGAGCTACGGATAAAATTATTAGAGCACTGATTTTTTACAATAGAGGGTGCAGCTTGACTGACTACAAATATCAAGAATATAGGAAATGAGGCAGACATCATTCAAGATGTTAGCTAATAAAGAATTGTTTTTCAACACTCAAACTAGTTATCGTTTACAACTGGAAGTAAATTTATAATTCAATAGTTGGAAAAGGTAACGAAAGACTAGGCTAATAACACAATTCAAGCATACAAAGATAATACATTTGGATCAACAACTCGAATGGAAACACTCTCGTTGAAAAACGAATCCCTAGAATACTTTACCCAAACATAGACCACACTAGAATTTGACTTTACTCCCCCAGACTCCAAAGAAAAGAATAAAATCAAACATTGACTAACAAGTTTCTTCAAGGGGTGGATTTTATTCCCTACCAATTAATTGAAGGCCACATTTAGTTCTAACAGTAGAATGCAAAAAATATCCAAATTCACCGGGAACATTTGAAACCTTCCAAGGTATATATTTATGAAACACTAACCAATTCATAGGCCCGTTGACAGTTTGAAGCTTGATACAATAAAAAAATCAATGAGGTGATCCTTGTCCTTTTTCACATCACTCAAACTCAACCATAGGAAGATTCTGAAGCGTGTCAATATTTTCAACTACCCTGTTAGGATCTTAAACAGGAGGAAAAAATATAATATCAATATAGTCATGTTCTGCAAAAATATCATGTATTCTAGATATTATGGATAAGTTATTCGTAATACTTGCAAGGGTGGAGTCACAAATATCATGTACAATTAAAATTTTTAAAAATATAAGATTATGAATGCATTTTTCTTGAAAATATGATTAAATATATAGAGATATATATATTGGGAGCACGTCTATCATGAGGACACTATCACCAAGTTGAAACCTTGAATGTTAGATTCAGAAACTGACCTTTACAGTTATAAGAGAGCAAGCTTAGTGAGAGCATTCTCATCACAACTTTTTCCTATTCTTAAAACAACCTAAATAGAAAGACACGTTAACTTAAAAAAAAAAAAAAAGGAAAAAACAACTTAAATAAATAGAGACGGAAAAACTAATACAAAAAGGAACAAAAAATATAGAGAGGAACACACTGGCAGCCGATAAATGAGGTCGCCAAGTGCAGAGCACCATTTCTTTTCTCTGTTGAATTCAAATAGATATATATATGTGTGTGTGTGTGTGGTGTGTGTGTGTGTATTTGAATGGAGCAAGGATTACCGACTTATGCAATTTTCTTTCTCTAGATCTGGATTTTTCTGAAGCAAGAGCAAAAAGGTCGTCAATCGACTTTGGAGGCGCCACATGTAAGTTTTTTTCTCAAACTCACCATTAATAACTATTAATAGGGGAGCCATAAACAAAGTTTTCCAAAACCATTTTTTTTTTCTTTTTTTTTTGTTATTTGGGGTGGGAGGTCTAACAACTTAAGCTTTTAGAATAAATGATTGTTAACATGGTTTCAAAGCAGGCAGGTCCTAAGTTCAAACCTCACGGTCTTCACCATCATCCTGATAATTAAAATTGCAACACGTGTTGGACCAAAAGAAAGCGACGTGTGAAGGATTCAAATATTAAAGTTACACCCTCTCTAACAGTTTAAGCTTTCAGAGTAGATGGTTGTTAACAGTTGCAAACATACTGTTGAAATATCTATATCATTATTATTTTTATTTTTATTAGCTGCTTTCAGCCTTTTATTAGATGATTTATGTAAGATCCCTATTATCATAGGATCACGTAGATAAGATCCCCATAATCATGGGATCACATAGATTTTGGCATATTTCCTGTTTTTCTTTGATTTGGTTTCCTTTCTTTGTACATTATTCTTGTATACAAATATAGCTCTTGGCTCTCAGTTTAAGTAAGCCAAAACCCAAAACTTCTTCTTTTTGGTATCAAAGCAAAACAAAAACCTTCGCCTCTCCATCTTCCTCCCCAACACCACCACCTTCTATCTCCCTCTCTCCATTTTCCCTCACCTCCGGCACAACTCCATCTCCTCCCAGCGCTTGCGCCAGACCCCTCGGGTAACCCTCTGTTTTTTACTCCTTTTTTAGGAGAATTCCCTTAGGTTTTTTATGACCTAAGGGTCCTTCTGGTGTTTTTTTTTCTTTGTGGGCTGCCAGTGTTTGTTCGGTAGCATATTTGAAGGAAAGCGCCGATTTTCCCAGCCTTGTTTTTTTTTCTCTTTCCTCCTACTTTGACGTGTGGACTAGTCTTATTTTGGTACTATGACTGATTCTAGTAGCCAAAAGGACACTTTATCCTCGATCCAGCATACTTTATCTTTGGCACATCATACTCCGGCACAGCGGGTTACTAGTGTGCTCTTGAATGGGCGCAACTTCGTATCTTGGTCACGTTCTCTTCAACTCTATATTGGAGGAAAAGGGAAAACTGGTTGGTTTGTGGGTCTAGTCAAGGAACCGGAAAAGATGGATACTAAATATATTGCATAGGACATAGACAAGTGCACAATTCTGGGTTGGATCTTCAACTCAATGGAGGAGCGTATCTAATAATATGTTCATGTTTCACACTTCCGTTTTTCACTATGGCAAGCCCTTAACAAGATGTATGCCCATTCCCGCAATGACACTCATATCTTTGAACCCTATCAGGAGCATCTCAGGAGACACTCAAGCTGTCAGTATCAGAGTATTTTGGGTACTCCAGTCTAGGTGGAAAGAATTAGCACAATACCTCTCTCCGATTTCTCTGAAGAAGCTTCAACTCTTTTGCTCAAGAGACTAGACCGCCAGCATACCTACCAGTTTTTTATGAGTTTAAGATCTGATCATAAACACCTCTCCTAGTCCTGATTTATATGATGCCTTCGTTACTGTTGACCATGAGGAGCATAGACGTCAGATCTCTCAACCAGTAGCTTTACCAAAGACTCCAGTTGATCAGATGGCTCTTGCTGCTAATTCTAGACTTTCAGAGGGAAAAGTTATTTGTCAACATTATGAAGCCACGGGTCATGTAAAGTATCATTGCTTTAAGCTTCATCCCAAGCCAAAGCAAAAAAAATTTCGCAATCGTCCTTCTAACCGTAGCCGCACTGCGCAGTAGCCGATACTATTAGTGGGTATACCACTCCACAGATTGTTGTCCCTCCTGCTTCAAGTCCTCCAGACCATCTTTTCACGACTTCAATCAGTTACAATCCCAGATTGGTCAGCTTCAGGAGCAATTCAGAGCTTTATCTACCAAGGCTGGCTCTTCTATTCCCACGGCTACTATAGCTACAGGTACTCTTGCATTTCATGTCAAAGCGGGAAAACCTACTTGTGTTCTGGATTCCGAAGCCGATGGATCAACCACCAATATTCGTAGTAAAGGAGATGTTCATATATCCCTTGATATTATTTTGCCATCCGTTCTTCATGTTCCTGCCTTTGCATTTAATCTTCTATTTGGTAGCAAACTTGCCAAATCACTAAACTGTGCAGTGATTTTCTTTCCTCATTACTGTGTTTTACAAGACCTGTGTTTGAAGAGGATTATTGGCATGGGATATGAGCACGATGGGCTCTATTACTCTAAGGATCCTCCACCAACACCTCCTCCACTTGCTTCAAGCCTTCAAGCCTCTGTTCTTCCAATTTCTAGGTCTTAAAATTTTTCTTTTCAGGCTTTAAATTTATGGCACGCTAGCCTCGGGCATGAAAACTTTCAGTATATATGTCTGTTTTTCCCTTCATTAATAACAGCTTGTAAGGATAATAAGTTTCAATGTGAGATTTGTGAGCTTTCTAAACATACTAGAACCAATTATATTTCTCATATGCATCGTGCATCTAGTATGTTTGATCTCATACATTTTGATGTGTGGGGTCCTTCTCCTATTACTGCTTTTTCAGGGCATCGTTATTATGTCACATTTATTGATGATTATTCCCACTGCACATTGGTATATTTACTTGAAAAGAAATCTGAAGTTTTTCCCTTGTTCACTCAATTCCTCCAAATGATCAAAACTCAATATAAAACTGTTGTTATGAATATTAGGTCTGACATTGGTCGTGAATATGTTTCCAATGAGTTTCGGTCTCAACTTAACCAGCAGGGTATTCTACATCAACTTACTTGTCCATATACCCCTGAACAGAATGGTATGGAAGAGCATAAAACCGCCAACTAATGTTAGTTGTTCGACGTCTTTTAAGTGGTTTGAATGTGCCAAAGTCATACTGGCACATGGCGGTTCTTACAACTACTTTTCTCATTAATCGTACCCCTAGTAGAGTATTAAATGGTAAGGCCCCCTTACAAGTGCTTCAACCTAATATTACTCTTTCTTCCATCATGCCTCGGGTGTTTGGATGTACATGTTTTGTTCAGAATCGTAGCCCATCTCGTACTAAACTTGATGATAAGGCCATTAAATGTATCTTTTTAGGATACTCTTCAATGTCAAAAGGTTACCAATGTTATGATCTTGTACACAAACACATGTATCACTCTCTTGATGTCACCTTTCATAAGCATACCCCTTTTTATGGTTCTAACACTATCTTGCAAGAAACTTCTACTCCTGATCAAGAGGTTTCTCCTCTTATTCGTCCTCTTCCTATTTTTCAAGAAGAGTCTTCTCTTATGGTTTCCTCACCCCCTTTGCAGGTCTATTCTTCGCCGCCCTCGTGCTCCGCCTCCACTGCTTTCATCCTCCTCAGTTACAAGTTCAAGTACATCTCCTCTCACTCCTTTACATTTCCCTAACCCTGTTCTTAAGTCTCGGTATCCCACTCGGGACCGCAAACCCCCTTCTCGATTTGGATTCACTTGTAGTACTGATCATCCTATTTCACAGTATATTTCATATAATGGTCTTTCGGAGTCTTACCGATCCTTTCTAGGCAAACTTGATTCCATTTCCATTCCCAGAAATGTCTCTGAGGCTCTCCGGAATCCCAATTGGATGTCTGTTATGATGATAGAAATGGATGTTTTGCAGCAAAATGAAACATGGGAGCTTGTATCTCTTCCTCCTGGTGAAAAGACTGTTGGTTGCAAGTGGGTATTCATTGTTAAATATCTGGCCGATGGCTCTATTGATCAGTATAAGGCCCATTTGGTGGCCAAAGGGTTTACTCGGATTCCTGGTAAAAACTTTAATGATACCTTCGCTCTAGTGGCTAAATTGACCTTAGTTCGTTTGCTTGTCTCCCTGGCTGCCTCTCATAATTAGTCTCTTCATCAGCTTGATGTGAAGAATGCTTTCCTTAACGGTGATCTTCTTGAGACTATTTATATGGATCCTCCACCCGGTTTTCGGGCTGAGGGGGAGTATGCTTGGGAAGGTCTGTCGATTGCGGAAGTCTTTCTATGGGTTAAAACAATCTCCCAGAGCTTGGTTCAGCCGCTTCAGTGATGTAATTCTATCCATGGAGTTTGTTAGATGCTATTCTGACCATACATGTTTTATCCACCGTTCCTCTACTGGTCAATGTATCATTCTTCTTGTCTATGTTGATGATATCATCATTACTGGCAATAACATCCCTAGGATTGCTCAAGTAAAGCTTCAATTAGCTAAAGCTTTTGATGTGAAAGACCTTGAGCAGCTCAGATTTTTCTTGGGATTTGAGGTTGCTAGATCTAAGCAGGGTATCTCTTTATCTCAAAGGAAGTATGCCTTGGATCTTCTTCGAGACATGGGTATGCTTGGGTGTAAACCTGCTTCCACTCCTATGGATCATAATCTAAAGATCTCAGTTGAGTCTGGAGATCTTCTTTCTAATCCCTCGCAGTATTAGCACTTGGTAGGAAGATTGATTTATCTTACCAACACCCGTCCTGATTTGGCTTTTGCGGTTAGTGTTGTGAGTCAGTTTATGCATGCTCCTTGTACAGCTTATATGGATGTGATATATCATATTCTTTGATATCTTAAGTCATGCCCTGGACTTGGAAGTCTTGGATTATTCTATTCTTCTGGCAGGCAGGTTGGGCTATCCTGTTTCACTGATGCAGACTATGTTGGGTCCAAGACTAACAGATGTTCCACATCTGGCTTCTGTACTTTCTATTAAGATCATCTTATACCCTGGAAAAGAAAGAAGCAACCTCTAGTTTCAAGATCTTCAACAGAAGCTAAGTATCGTGCCATGGCCCAGGGTACTTGTGAGATTCTCTAGCTTCGATCTTTCTTGGAGGAGCTAGGGCTAAGTGAAAAACAGTCCTCAGACTTGTTTTGTGATAATAAGTCGGCCATCATGCTTGCTTTAGATCTGTTCTTCATGAGAAGACTAAACATATAGAGGTGGACATTCATTTTATCAAAGAGAAGGTTCGTTCGGGAATTATCAAGTTGTGCTTTGTTCGGTTCTCTAATCATTCAGCAGATGTGTTCACCAAATCCGTTGGTCCATCTTTGCTTCATTCCTCGATTACCAAGCTGGGTTTGATTGATATCTTCACTCCAGCTTGAAGGGGAGTGTTGAAATATCTGTATTATTACTATTTTTATCTTTATTAGCTGTTTTCAGCCCTTTATTAGGTGTTTTATGTAAAATTCCCTATTATCATGGGATCACGTAGATAAGATCCCCATAATCATGGGATCACGTAGATTTTGGCATATTTCCTATTTTTATTTGATTTGGTTTCCTTTCTTTGTACCTTATTCTTGTATATAAATATGTAGGCCACACATGGAAAAGTTCATAAAAGCATACACAAATTTATATAGTACATTAAATATATCTCAAGTAGCATGTTTGTGACAGCACAATTCACAGTCAGCTCAAAAGATTTATAAAGTAGATGTCAAAGCAGAAAATGATGAATTAAACATGGTCAAATTACAAACATACAAATCATATGCCCCAGCACAAAGTAAAGTTCGGTCCAGCGTGACAGCCTAATCACTGAAAAACAAGACAAAAAACAGGAAAAGGAAACACTATATTATGATCAGATAACATGTTTCTGTCCAGAATAAAAATAAGGATACTGAAGCAAGATTTCCTGCAAAAGGCATTTGTCTATCACAAAATCAAGTGGAATCTCATATATAGCTGCCAAATTCTTCCTCTGATCTCTGACAGAAAATTTGGTTGTGTCATAGTCATCAGAACGATTGAGTATACTCTCCCAACCACTCCCACCAGATACATTTACTAAGATCTCATCTTCATGTTTTAAATTCTTTGACTCCATAGGTAAATTACCATGAGACAGTGCCATCCAATCAAGCAAGACCTCGCTATTATTGTAGGCTGCTTCATCATGGCAATTGCTCACACCAATGGCAGCAGAAGCACCAGAGTTCTTGATAATTGTAAGCTCAGGTTGAAATTGATGTTTGAGACCAACTTTTTCCACATATATCTTACACGGGTCCTCTACAGATGAGAAGTCAAAACAAGAAAAAAGTTTTCTATGGTCTGCAAAGCATCCCTCTCCAAGCTTGCTCATCAGGCCATTTTTACTCAATAATGGGTTCATACTAAGAAAATCAGAATGGTACTTAGACTTCCATGGCTGCAAAATGAATGAATTGGATGAAGCATGAGTACCATTTGGTAATTGATCACTATTAGTGGCCTCTCCAGTTAAATCATTTAGAAAAATATTGCTAAAATATGACATATGTTTCTTCAAGGCTCCCATCTCTCTATTGCTCACTTTCAGCGCACATTCAAATGGATCTAACCTTGTGGCATCGCTAGACCTTCTGTCACCATCAAATGGATTCTTCACAAGGCCACCAAGCAGCTGACTATCCATATCTCGAATTTCAAGCTTCTGTATAAAAATTGGTTCCCCTGACCCAACTAGCAGTGAATTGTCACTCAAGTTTATTCGCTTGTGATAAAAATGTATAAAATGCTCAAGTGGATCTGTTCTTTCACAAACTTCATGCGAATTGCTTTCCACAGGATATGACATATCACTTTGGGAAGGTTTCTGAAAACACTCATCAACTGGAGTACTTGACAAGGAGCTTAAAATTGATAAATATTTTTGTTTGGGCCCAACCATACCATTAGGAAACTGATTCAATTGCTCAGTCTCATTTTCATCTTCGGAGATATTTGAAGATGAACATTCAGATGACTCAATTAGATCCTCCACCTGAGATAACTCATCAACTTCACTATATGTCTCTGAATCCAGAGTTTCAACAACCCTGAGAATTAGGAAATATGAAGTGTAAATAAATATATTTATATATGTGTGTGTGACTGTGTGTGTGTCAACAATTGAAAGGAGAAGTGACAATCACAGAAAAGATCAAGAAAGCAGGCTGAAACAATCAAGTGGAAATAAATACATCAATGTAAATGAATAGTACGCTACTGTCAGTATATCCTGATATTGACACTCACAGGAGCACAGTTGTTAAAGACGCGCATAGGCTCCGAAAAGCCCCAGACTCATCAAGCTCAGCTAGAGCGCCTCAACCTACTACAGGTCAGGCCGCTTCAATCCAGCTCACGCTTTTTAGTAGGCTACAGGCTCAAAAAAGGCGCACCTTGTATTTTTTAATCATTTACTCGTATCATTTCTTTTTTATTTATTGACTACTAAACTAAAATGTTCTGCATCATATATCATATTGTTTAACCTTATAAAATATTTGACAAAATTCATAAATTTATGGTTCACTACTTGCATTAACTGCAGTTAGTGCTTGATTCTGAATATATATAATAATGTGTTTAAACGTGCATTATTATTACACATGCACCTTACTTGGATCAGGCTCGCGCCTTATACTGCACCTTGCGAATAGGCCTTTGGCACCTTAGTGTGCTTTGAGCCTTTAACAACTATCAGAGGAGAGATAAATTTTAAACTGCATGCAGATCACCATGGCAAGAACATGCCTGCACACACACACACACACACACACACAGAGCGCTTACACATTTGAATCTCTTCTATCTGCTGAAGGGTAAATCAAGCGGTCATTCATAGCAAATGAAGATGGAATATTTAGACTTCCTCCATTGTCATCAACAAGGACAGGCACATTGACACATGAAACTACCTGGAAAAAAATAATTTTACATGGCAACTAGGAAATCAGACAAATGCCTAAAGCAAATCCTGACAAGAAGAAGTTAGCAGGTAAACATGATTATAACTGATTGACCATGAAACAAAGTTTTCCCCTCATTCTTTTAAGAAAATGCAATCTTCTAACTTCCCTTTTTTCCAAGAATTGACAAAGTTCCAGGTACAAAATAGCATGGCAATGGCTGTAACCTGAAAGTATGTGACGCCAAACATTTATGAAATTTATAAATCTAAATAACCTAATGAGCAGCTTGTTTCCCCTTCACACTTCAGCAAAAAATGTACTAGAGACTATTCACTGTTATTCAATTATATAGAGTACTAAATAAAGACATTTATAGTTTTGCAAATTTAAGCATATGTCATAGAATCACACGCACACGCGTATACTATTGTTGAAATTAGTGTTGAAAGAGAAGGAAACAGAGAAGACTATGTTTGGGAAATTTTTAGAGTGTCCTAATCTCCTCTTATCTTCTATACATATAACAAAAATAGTGTTACAATAAAATGATCAACATGCCATGATAAGAAGTACAAAAATAAACCTATATATATTCTAACACTCCCCCTCAAGTTGGGGTTATATATCATATAATCCCAACTTGGAACAAATAACCTTTAACCGATTATGACTTAGAGCTTTAGTAAACATTTCAGCAAGTTGATCTTCAGACTTAAAAAATGGTGTAGAGATGTCTCCACTCAATATCTTATCTCGAATAAAGTGATAGTCAACTTTGATATGTTTGGTCCCCTCATGAAATACAGGATTGGAGGCTGTTACGAGAAATGCAACGAACCCAAGAACAAATCACAAAACACGACAGAAAAATAAACACGCCACAAACAAAGAACATAAAGATTTAGCGTGGTTCGACACAAGTTGCGTCTACGTCTATGGTGAAGATTCGGCAAAAGGTTTCACTATACGAAAATCAGCGGATTACAAGTTTCAACTCCCCAAGCCCCATTTCTCCCTCTCACTCTCTTTTCTGCAATTTTTAGTCTCTTAATATCCCCCTCCAAACCCTAAATGCCCTTATATATCGAGATGCAAAAAGAGAACTAACAAGGTCCACACAAAGCTCAATCATCAGGTTGAAAAATGGGTTGCAACGGAACATCACAGAGGCAATGAGAAAGGCCGTTCGGTTATCACAAAACAATGGAATAGGAGTTTTGACTATCAAATCAAATTCCTCAAGAAAATGGTGCAGCCACGTGTACTCAGTAGAGGTATGGACCATCGCCATGATACTCAGCTACCACTTATGAGCACATTTTATATCATGATTATTATCCCTAAATTATATTTACTAGTCCTTATTATTAAATAAGTTAGTATGTTTATGTAAAATGTTTTGTTGTTAGAGATTGTTGGTCAGTTGTCTTGTGATTGTGTAGTATTCTATGCATTTTCATGTGCAATGGGACAGCAGATTGCTCCAGCATGTGCAGCAGATTTGGTGCAAAAGTCGGCAAAAAGGCAGCAGATCTCAGCTTGTGCAAGTGGCCTTTCATATTAGCAACTTGTGCAAGTGGCCTTTCATTTCAGCAACTTGTGCAAGTGGCCTGAGTTCATTTGGCTATTTATAACCTATTGCTGCTCAAAAAAGAATAGGAGAAGAAAAGAAGGGGAGAGCTAGGAGTTCAAACACTGTTCTTGCATGGTTTTGGGGCTGTTTTACACTTTTACAGCGGCTGCTACTTCTTCTTTTCCTTTGCTTATGTTTTCTTTCTTTTGTTTGTTTAAAGTGTTAGTTATGTCATTCTAATTCCTCAACTAAGGTTGAGGAAAAAACCCCATAAATGAAATAATCTTCTAGTTTAACTTTACATAATTCCCTTGATTATGCTTTTAATGTTTATGATTCTTTCTTCATATGATTGATTGAAATTTAGAACTTTCACCGTTAATATCATGTATTCTTGGTAGTTAGAAATTCTATATTCAATTGATCAATGCTTGATTTCGTAGCTCTTGATAGTAAATTTCGTTGATCTTAAGTTTTCCATATTTTGAATATATATATTACTTAGAATACTTGTAGAGCAAGAAATTTCTATTCTCTAGTTACAAGCCCAATTCACCTATAAATAGAGGTGGTTATTGTAAACAAAATTTAGAGAAAATGTAATGAAAGAGATGTAGCCCTTTGGGCTTTGTGTGTTGTGTTCTTCATGTTTAATTTATCTCTTCAACTTTTATACCTTTCAACATTGTATCAAAGCAGGTTTATCATACCCTACTCTATACTATACTCGTCTCGGATCTTCAGATCAACTCGTCTCATCTCATATCTTCGGATCAACTTGTCTCGGATCTCCGAATCAACTCATCTAAAATTTACTCATCTCAGACTCTTGACTACTTCATATTTAATTTCAAGTTGGACACTTGGTTTAAATCTCCGTGTACCAACTTGAAGGGGGGTGTTGAAAAAAAATTATAGGAGTGATTTAAGCCCTTAAATCACTCCTTGACAGAATGTTAAGGTTGCTATACTAGGGCAACAAGTTGTTGCCATATTTGTATTTGACTTTGTGTAATTCCTTTATATAAAATACTTGTAGAGCAAGAAATTTCTATTCTCTAGTTGCAAGCCCAATTCACTTATAAATAGAAGTGGATATTGTAAACAAAATTAGGAGAGAATGTAATGAAAGAGATGTAGCCCTTTGGGCTTTGTGTGTTGTGATCTACATGTTAATTTCTCTCTTCAACTTTTATATCTATCAACAACAAGCATTGAAGAATAGCAAACTATTATAATGTTTATCCCATCTTGATCTCCATTACAAGCGCAAGACAGGGAAACTAGTTTAAGTGAGCAACCATATATTTTACTATTAGTTGATATAATAACTAGAAAACACAATACACTTTTTTTTTCATTGATAAACATGATGAACATTACAAAACAGCGAACTCCTATGATGCAAATACCTGGCGGGATCTGATCTTCAATTTTGTCAAAAAGTTTTCAAGCTTTTCCAGTATCATTTTGTAATATTTGTTCCTTTCGAGTACCATAGCTTTTATGCTTTCCTTGTTAAAAGTCAATGGAGATTCATAATATGGCCGATTGTTTGAGAAATCACTCCATCGAGGAAGGATATCATCATAAACATGGTTCCCAGTACCAACGTGGTTACACAATTCAAGCAACTTCATTAGTACTTCAAGCTGCTGACCAGCTCTGAAAAGAGGAATCAAGTAATCTTTTAGAAAACAAGGAACAGCAGCTCCATCTCGCTCCTGAAGGAAAAATTGACAGATTGCAAGAACAACATAAGAGAGATAATAAAGAGTATATTACATGGCAAACATCCTTAAATCCAAGGCTGCTAAATTACAACAGATAGCATTACCCTAATAGTTGCCACAAGGAAGTCATTAGAGATTCCAGAGTTACCGGGTGGTGGTGGATTATCGATATATTCTACTACAAACTCCTTATAAGGATCATTGATCTCTGCTTTGTAAATCCATGATCTGATAAATCCAAAATATGGTTCACATGACCGGAGAAAGATAAACTTGAGCAAAGCACAATGGACAGGATCAACAACCTACAGAAAAATACCAAAAATAACTGATCAAAGGAACCACAAAGAAATGACAAGAAAAAGAGCATTGATGGTTTCAAAAACTGTAAAAAGTTACTTAGTTCCAGTCAATGCACTACTTCCCCAACTTGAAACTTAACATTTTCAATCACCAGAGGTGATTAGTACCAATTTCAAACATCAGCAGAACAATAGTTATGTATCAGAATATTCATAACTGCATAATTGCCCTTGGCTCATTGCTTTATTCTAAAATATGAAAAATAAATAAATAAATAAAGCAAAATTTGTGCCCTTTCGGGTGAGACAATGCTACAACAACTTTGTGGATTTTGTTTATTTGGTTAGTGTCCTCACCTAGATATTTCTGCTACCCAGTAGGGGGATTAAGGTTGCAGCAAAAAAATCTAGTTTAAGAGCAGATAATCTACATTAGAAAATGGATTATCAAGTGAATAGGTCACTAACATAAAGGCTAGAGAGTAAAATTAACAAACATAAGTTGATAAATAATTAAAATCTACATTTACCAAGGCCTTGTGGCCTAGTGGTATCTCCTCTACATCCCAAATTGGATGCTGAGGGTTGAAGTCCCCATAGGGACAAATGGGTGCGTGCATTTCTTGGCAATGAAAAAATAAATAAATAAATAAAATCTAGAATTGCTAAGCCAAGCATCAACAGTACATCAAGAAGGAATGAAAAGTCTGTAAATAGCCAATTTGCTAACCTGCAGCAGCGTATACAAATGTGTGAGCAGATCTCCTCCTCTTGGGAAATTACAAAACTGAAGGTTTGCTTCAGTGACCAAGTCCTGCAAAGATGATACCGAAAAGCGAAGAGCAAGATCATGTACATTGCATATATTCCCAAGAGCTCCAATTTGAGTCCTCAACTCCAACGAATGCAGGTAAACCTCCAATAGTGTAATTTCAGAATACACTGTGCTTGTGAGACAGCCTACCCCAGAAGATGAACAGGAAGACCCATCAACTGTCTTAGACGAACGCCTCAAAACCACTGATGCATATAATGTGTCAAGTGCACCAATGTAACCCTCTAAAACCTTTCCAACAGCAACAGAAAAAGCCTGATTCACAACACCATTTTGGTTTCCCGCATTAAAATTAAAATTTGTAAAATGGTCCAGAAATTTCCGGAGCAAGAACACTACACAGCCAAAGAAGCCTATGGATTTGAGTATGTTTCCTAAAGCATGAGTACTGGAAGACCGTGTCCACAGACTTGGAATCCGATGGAAGGTTCTGTCAGAAGGATCGCAACAGAACGCTGAACACAGCTTTTCGATACTCAAAAGAGACGATTCTACACCATACAGTGCATTCATCGCCAACCTCACCAAACTCGCTTCCTGCAATTAACCCCAAAAAAACTGTTGCATTGTCACGAAAACATCAAATGAGTTCAATTTTGGAAGATTTACACAATAATTTGACTTACGGAAACAATTGAAGTGTCGTAGAGAGAGAGTCCGCGTCTAGAGAGAGGAGAATGAGAAGTTGAAGCATCGGAGAGAGAGAGACCGCTTTCGGAAGGGATCGATTCCCAAGGTCTGGGGTGTAGAAGTAACGGATCTTCCAACTTCAACTTTTCAAACAACGATGCGAAGTTTGTATCAACCGCCATTGATGAGTTAGGTTAGGGGTTCTACTTCTTTCTGTTTTGAATTCTTTGGTGCCACTGCCAGTCCTCCACAGAGTAGTAGTGTTGCAATTAGAGACACAGGAATTGCAGAGAATTTGGAAGAGTAGGAATCGTTTGGTCCATTTTGCCTCCAAATGTATTGAATTGAAGTTGAACCCTCCGCTTCGCACTTGAAAACCAATTTTTTTTTTTTTTTTTTTTTTCGTGGTAAAAGTCCATTGTTTAACCTTAATTATTTAACTAAAATTACTTTATAAATTCGCGACTCCTTTTTGATTTACTACAGGCACGGATATGTGACAATTCAGCAGGGGTGCACAAAAAAATCGGAACCGTGAGAACTGGAACCAGAACCGGAACCGTGAGAATCGGAAACGAAACCGTGAGAACCGGATGTTCGGGTTCTCACAGTTTTGGTCCCCGTCCCGATTCTTTTGTGACCCTGGATTTTTTAACCCAGTGTGTCCTGTAATGACCCGAAGCGGATCTGGAATGCGGAAGTAAGAAACAAGACAACGATCTCTCAAGGCACAACACCTCTCATGACCTAAGATAACCTTCCATGAGGTCACGGAACCCAAATGAATAAAACATAGAAGCAAAACAAAGACAAGTCCTTAGAGATGTACGTCATCCCTAAGACATAAGAATGACCTTTCGAGAAGTGTCGAGACTCAATGGAAGCGAAACGGAGACAAGGGTATCAAAACCCCGCGAAGGAAGGACCAAGGGGTAAAATGGTCATTTTACCGTAAATGTGGCGGCCCTGGTTTTTAGGCCAGTGTGTCTTATGATAAACCAAACATAAATCCAACAATGAATCCAGAATGCGAAAGTAAAAGGTACTAAACATTTATAAAACACCAATGTGATCCTCAATGAGATCACGAAACCCAAATAATGCAAATGCGGAAACGATGTCTTAAACACGGAAAAGAATGAACCTAGGGGCAAAATGGTTATTTCATAGAGAAATGGATGCTACCAAGCATACCATTGAAAAAATAACAAAAAATGAATGAAGTTAGACTCAAGAATCACCTGATTCGGGGTCCGGACGAAGAAGATATCATCAAGTCTTGATGTTAAGGAAAAAAAAAAAAAAAAAATCCATTTCCGGTTCAAACCAAATCCTAACACTAACTTACTAAAACTTGAATAACTTGAGTTACAAATGGAATTTGAAGCACTAATTGGTACCATTGGAAATCTTATTTCGACGTGATCAGTTTAGATTCAAAGAACGGACTAATTCGGAGTTGAAACGGGTGGGATATGGCCCTTTGAAGGAAGATGTTTGGAGCATGATCTGCCATGGTGAGCGCCCGCCCAAACCATGCACAAATCCTACAGGCGCCCGCCCAAACCATGTACAAATCCTGCGGGCGCCCGCCAAATCCCATAGAAGCCTGGAGATTTTTGCGGGGCCCCGCCAAAATCCGCGGGGGCTCACCAGTTGCTACCCAGGCGTGACTTTTTGAACCCCAAAACGCAGAAACAGGACTTGGAAGACAAATCTCAAGAACCTAGGTAGCTTAACTAATCATTTTGAAGTGTTTGTAACATACTTAAGGGTGATTTCTAATCAATCAAGGAAAATAAACAAAAGATGGCCTTAAGGCCTCATGGCAAGTCATTTACAAATTAAGCTCAATCCTTGAAATTCCATAGGCAAACTATGAAGTTAAACCAACATACATGTCATATACATTGTACAGAGTGTACTCATGTACACATTACATATTTAAAATCAAAAATACACATTTTGACAAATAAGGCTACAAGTGGCATTTCAAGCCAACCTTTACAAAAATTAAAGCCTTCGAGTCCACAATCATCAAAGCAATGATGATCATCACGAACCAAGTCTTTTTACCTAAACAAAACCCCCAATAACTTCGGGGTGAGTAAACAAGTTTACTCGTAGGGAATAAGCAGGCATATACTCGATTTCTTTAATGATTTTTACTTAACTTGAAACAATTCAAAATGGGTCATGCCATTTAATGTCTATGTCAAAGGTTAGACTCAGGGAGCATCATAAGCTACTCATGCAATTGAATGAGATACATGACATACATGTATACTGGTTACAAATGTACTAAATGGAGATGAAAACATGCGAGGTAAGTATACAAAACACAGGTATACTAACAAGATTGGAAACACACGAGGCAGGTATACAAGACACGAGTATACTAGATAGAATTCCAGATACAAGAAGCAAGTGCACAGTTTCAAGTGTGCTAAATGAGATATAAATATACGAAGCAAGCATAATATCTATGCAATTAAACAAGGTAGGAAATACTCCATATAACACGACAAGGTTCTTAGGTCTTCAAGAGATAACACTTGAAATCTAAGGGTTCAAAGATTTTGCATGTTGATATAAATCATCACAATTGGTCCATGCCACCTAGAATCTAAGTCAAGTTACATGTATATGATCATTCCTAAGTCACAATAGCATAAAGTAACATGAAACGAGATAACTAAGAAAATTAACAAGATTAAAACAATTCAATTAATACGACAAGGACAAGACGTGAAATCAAGGATTATGCATAATATCTATGCAATTAAACAAGATTGGAACATTCCAATTTACATGAAAAGGTTATACCTGAAATCAAGAACAAGGCATAACATCTATGCAAGTAAACAAGATTGGAGCATTTCACATACACGATAAGTTTTAAATCTTCAAGGAATAGCAACTTGAAATTTAAAGAGTGAAATCCACCAATGTAGAAATTCGGATATCGCCCGAATTAAAACCGTACTATTGGGATCACTTTAGGGCTACTAACCCATGGGTACTTTCCCCTAGTGCGCACTATAGTGTAGGGAGCTCTCTATCTCCCGCACTAGAACCAAATCCCAACCATATCAATTCTTGATTGATATCCTAAGTTCTAAAATCAACAAGTTGTGCAACCAAGAGTGTATCAAGATACAAGTAATGCATTAAACCACATTACATGCACAACCAAAATTTTGGAAACACACAAGTCATGCCCTATACATGTTTATATCTTGCTCATTTTATGAAATTGATGTGATATTTGCAATCACCATGGAATGGACATTCACATATATTATTTTGAGAATTTTTAGACAACTTTGATTTTTAGAGAAATTAATTAATTAGGATAATTAATTTCTACTTAATGTTCTATTGATTTGGACATCTATTTCATGAGGCTTTTGCCTATTTATCATGTATTATAACTTGTTTCAACTTAACTCTATTAATGTAGTTAATGAACTTGCACCCTTACATTGGAATGATTTAATTGTTCAAGAGTTGTTAAACAAATGATTAAATCATTAATCTTATACTTGTGGTATATTTACATTAATGGGTTCCTTGTGTTATGAATACTAGTTTGTAGTCCGTGTAGATGCATACTATGATTTCTTGACATTTCACATGCCATTACTATCTTTGGTTGGAATGGACCATCTACCTAAATTAGGGCATAGTATGGTCCATCTTCCCTTCGCATAATCTATCTAAACTCATGTAAAACGTGCCTATAAAACCATTTCATGAATATGCATCTTCATTGTCACATATATAAATGACAAGTGCATAAATATATAATTATGCTTCTAAGAAAGAATTATATGAAACATATACTTATATATATATATATATATATATATATATATATATATATATAATGCTCAGATTGTAAATCAATTTAAATGTAAATGAAACATAAATTGAATAATATATCATATCTTTATTCATGAAACTCATCACACACAAGAGTTTTCCCCAAAATAAATTTACAAGTCTACATAACTACTTAATCAAGGCTAACTCAATCCTCTAGAAGGGGATTTAGCTCATCCTGGTGGTGGTAGGGATTCAGATGGTTGAAGAGGAAGACTCCATCTTCGACTCCATGGTAGCCTAATACCAAGAACACTTAAGAATCCCAACAATTTCTTACTTACTCTCTCTAGAAAAATCCAATTCTCTCTCTAAAAATGATATATGATTTGAGATGATATATACAAGAGATAGGGTAAGTATATAACCCCCCTTCTACCAGAATTCTATTCAAAATCCCCATAAATTCGTGCATTCAAGTGAGGATGAGAGAGAGAAGTAACTAAAATTTCTTTTGAAATTCAAATATGGGGATTTGCGTCCGGACACAAGGAAGTGCGTCCGGACGTAGAGTGTCCGAGGCTTCCTTGGCGCGCACGCAGGGCGTTGGTTTCGCAGGCTTATGGCATCGGACGTCCAGACACAAATTTTTGAAGCTACTAGAATTTTAATTTCTCAACTTCTTTAAATTGTTGTCTCGAATTGTGAAGTGCGTCCAGACGCAGGATTTGCACTAGGAAAGTGCGTCCGGACGCAAGGCCAAATCCTCTAAGTCTTGGCTTTTCTTTCTTGCTTAGTTTCCTGGGCCTGGCTTCTTTCTCAGGCTGAGTACAATCTTTAGGCTCTTAGTCTAATTTTCAGGTTCCGTAGCTCGCCAATAGACTAAACAATGTAATTAAACATAAAACTGTATAAAACATACTTTTTTAACATGCTAAATAGATTAAACAATGCAATTAAAGGCGCTTGAATATGCAATATTCGGCGCTTATCATAGTACAGGGTCATTTGATGTCAATCCCTTATAATACAGAGATGGCGATTTCAGGCTTCACTTAGCCTACCCTTATAGTACAAGGCCATTTGATGTGTGATACCCCCAAATTTCCAAGTGCGGGTTGGCCAGGCCCACGCCCAAAGACCCGGGGATATAAAAAATAATATGGCAATAAACGAACACAGAATACCAAAAAAAAAAAAAAGAATAAATAGAATGCTGAAAGGAAAACTAGTATAATAATTAAATCCTTAAAATAACTTTCATTTAATAAAAATCTCCTCTAATAACAATAATCCTCCAAAATACAACTGTAATGACCCGGTCATTTGCTTTCCTTTCCTTTTTCTTGAAATTTTACGAATGAATTTTTTTCATTTAATTTTCTTTTCTGAGCTCTGTTTCGTGTCGCTTAGTGTCATCTCGTGTGCTCAGAATTGGTTTCTGAGACTCTTTCATGTGAATTGACAACTTCCTTTGAGGACTGAGTCATTTTCGCATTTTTCGTTTTTGGACACTATACGCTATTTCGTTTTTTCCTTATTATGACATTTTCCCTATTTTCGTCTTATCTCCGTTTGTCAAT